ATAATCTTTGTTTTCATACAAATTAAGTTGTTACCATGTAATTACTTGTATAAACTACTCAATAAAGATATAAGCAAAGCCTCACCTTAACACCAAAAAAAAAAAATAATAAAATTCTAATTTCTTGTCCAACCTGTCGTATGTTTAACAAAAAAAAAAAAAAAAGTACCTTCATTAGTAAAAAATGTAAAAAAAAAAACAATTTTTTTTGATAGATTTAAAAATAAACTTATCTTAGTATTTGAATTTTATCATAGTTCGATTGATTTAAGTTTAGCTGATTTCAAGTTAGAGTTAGTTTGAGTTATAATAAGTATTGTGACAGATTAAAATAAAATATGTATAGTATAAAAAAATTGACAAACTACTGAAAAATAAAAATTTTTGAAGCATATTTTTTAGAGATTATGGTTAGAGGTTAGTTTTAGAGTAGAGTTTATATTAAACAAGTATAAGTGGGTTTTAGAGAGTTAAATAGAGACCCACATTTCAATTTCATTATGATTGGTGATGAGTATTAGTTGAAGATAGATTACCAGAAGTTTATGACTTTAAACTTTTTACATGAAATAGCACATTAGAATTCGTGTTTATGTCTGATTGGATATTTTCTTTGTAGAGTAGTGGCTCGGCTTGGCTTGAGGTTAATCGGCTTACAAATGGCTTGGCTCTAGCCTTTGGAGCCAAGGATTAGCTTGGCTTGGTCAATACAAGCCACGAGCTAAGCCAAACTAAGCTGTTTGTATCACTTCAAAAACACATTTACTAGTAGCATTTAAAGTTTTATACATGTATTAAAAAAATTTAAATTTGAATATAAATAGAATCTTTTGCAGTATAGGTAAAACTATTAATAAAAAATATAATTAATTATTGATTTAAAATAGGTATTATCTATATTGCAAGAGATTCTATAAATGCATTTAAATGTTTGAATTAAATATAAATTAACTTAAAAGAGTTTGCAGTGGTAATTAAGTAAATTCTAATAAACAATTTGAATAATAAAAAAAAATCTTCAATTATTTTTTTCAAAAATCTTGTGATTTTGTTATTATTGTGCTTAGATTGAAATTTAAAAACAGATTACGTACATGATTATAGTGGTGATACAGGTACATTCTGCACTAAGCTTAATTACATGATACTAACTAACTACAGTATACCCTCATTAATATCAACCCCATTAATATCAACCTTACTAATTTTTATATATTAAAATTCCCTTATATATACCAACTTTTAATATAATCCCTTGTTAATATCACTATCAACATGAATTTAAACCAATTCAAATGGGTTGATATAAATGAGGGTAAACTGTATATCTTTCAAACTAGCATAGATCCAATAATTTAATTGATACATATCATTTTACCAACAATTATTCAATGACACTTGACATTTAGTTTACCAACACGTTTGGTTCACTGACAAGTTTAATCACTAATAATATCTATCTACAACTAATAAAATCATATATGATGCCAGATAAATGGCCTATCAGGGAAATGACTACTAGAAAATAAACAATAATGGAGTTACAGCTATTCTTATAAAATTCAGGACAAACTAAAAATTTGTTTCTTCCCGAAATCTCTTCAGTTTCATCCTAAAGGTCATCTAACTCTTTGGAATCATGTCATAGTCTTCAGAACTTCAGTCCAGAGATAGCGATGTACTTTCCAAAGAGTTAGATGATCAGGATGAAACCAAAGAGATTTTAGAAAACAAGCAAATTTTTAGGTTGTTCCAGAATTTATAAGAATAGCTATAGGAAGTTCTCAAGCACCTACCTTAATGAATTCAATAAAAAATCTGATTGGCTAGTTTGATCAAACAGACAAATCAGATTCATTATTGAGTCTATTGAGGTAGGTGCTTGAGAACAATTAAGCTTGTTAGTTGAAACGTACTGTTAGTAAAACATATTGCTGGTAAAATAAACATGTCAGTGAAATGATTGTTTGTAAATTAATTGTCAGTAAAATAAACATGTTGGTGAATTATAGCTGTTTTCATAAATTCTGGGACACCCCAAAAAAATTTGCCAAAGTCTATTCGGCCGAAGTCGATAAATTATTTATCTCAGCATTGCACAACATATATAAATACATAATACTTGTATACTGGTACAAATTAATCAATATCTAAGATTTCAATTCATTAATCAGATCTTGGTACTATTATCAATAATCAATATTCGTAATGCACTATTTTAACTTTTGTTTAAGTGTCTTTTAAAACTTTAATTTTACTTATTTTAAAATTCAAGACTTTTAAATACTATATTTGACATTTTGATTTATCAAATATGCAAACTTTATAATAATAATAAAGTTTATGATATGATACTTTTAAATCATATATAATAAAAAATAGTTAAAAAGAATTTAGAAGGCTTGTTAGTTAGAGTAATTGCTAAACACTTAGATGTTAGCAGGTCTTCAGTTGGTCATGTTCTTATGCAATTTCAAAAGTATGGCTGTGTTGAAGAATTGCTATCGCTTTTGGCAGATCTCATTTATTAAATCTAGATAATATCAAATACCTTGAAACTTTAATAAAAGAAAAACTGATTGGTATTTGTATAAATTACAATCAGAAATAGAACTCTGGTTAGGACACAAGATTAGTCTTACAACAGTTTGAAGAGCTATACATCGACTTGGATACACAAATAAACAAGTAAGTTTTTTTATCTATATTAATTTACGAATATATATTATTATAATATAAATATTTTAATCATATATAGATTTCAAAACTTGCCAAAGAAAGAAATAAAGTTGATAGGGATAACTTTGTTATATGAATATCTCAATATATACCAAGTCAATTAGTTTTTTCAGATAAATCTGCATATGATAAAAGAACCTTATCACGTCGCTATGGCTGGAGCTTTTCAGGATTACATGCCCAAAAATATACATTTTTTGTTAGAAGAAAATGATTTACTTTTGAAGGTACTCTGTGTGCTAATAGTCTTTTGATAGTATCTAAGAAGGTTCTATAAATACTAAAGATTATAATAATTTCATTGAATATGTTTTAGTATATAATTTTAATATGATTATTTATTTATTTATGTATTAATGTATTAATATTTATAATTGTAATATTAATAAAGTATTTTTAATATAGTTACCAAAAATGAATGCATTTACTGGGCGATATAGTGTTTTAGTACTAGACAATGCAGTTATATATAAAAGTATACATTTAGAAGAAATATATAGAGAAAAAGGTGTTAGATTGGAATTTTTACCTGCATATTCACCTGACTATAACCCAGTAAATAAAACTATTATAATAATTTTATAATAATTTAATATTAATATAATTTTTAATAGATTAAACAAACTTTTTTTTATATAAAAAATTATTTATACCAAAATAAAATTTGGGCTAAATCAATGTCAAATCCTTTAGAAGTTTTAGATTTTATTTGTATGATGATTAATAAAAAATTAGCACATGCATGTTATCAACATTCTGGTTATATTCATTAATAATTTGTTAAATATTACAAATTTTATATATAATTTATTAAATATTACAAATTTTATATCATATTATAATACTAAGCTAATTAATTAAATAAATCATTAAATTTTATTTCAATATCTTCTATTTCAATCCAAATATCAATATGTTCTTCTATAAAAATTTGACTTATAATTTGCTCAGATAAAAAAGTTTTACTATTAATATCTAATAATGATTTAATAAGAAATTATTTTTCTTTTGGTGGACTATTAGGAAATATAAAAGCAAGTAAATTCTAAAATATCATATTATTAGTAATATGAATATTAGTTTTAAATGGTGATTTCTTTCTAGTATGGATTGTTGCAGAATAAAGTTTTGATTTAGTTGATATAGAAATTAAATTAATTCCAGATATAAAAGTTGAATCAACCGCAGATATAGTAGTTGAATCAACTTCAGGCAATAAAGTTGAATTAATTAAATTAATTATAAATATAAAAATAAAATTAAATATTTAAGTAATAAATAAAAATATTTAAATTATATAAATATATACTTGATAAATTATCACTGTTTGATGAAATTCACCTAGACATTAGATATCAATACTTAGTTTTGTCAAATAATGGAATACTTGGTAGATTTTTTTCATCAACACCTTGTATTTCATTAAACTTTATTTAAATAGTTAATAATTTATTTATAATATAAAAGTACATAATAATATAATTAATATTTACAATAGTACGAGCCCATATTGTAACTATATCACTATCTAATTTTAAATATTGACCATCATCAGAAATTAAACATCCTTGGATATGTATATCACATGATGGAAGATTTTTATAAATTTTTTCTTTAATAATATTTAATTTATTAATAATATCTGGCTCAGTTTCAAGTGTCTATAATAAATAAATAAATTATTAATTAATTAATTAATTAATATAATATAAATTTAAATATAATATAAATAACTTACACGAATTCTTTTATTAGCTCTATCATCTTTATGTTCCTGATAAACACATAACTGAATATTTTTTTATATTTTGCTTCAATAACAAATGCAATAATAGCTCCATCTGCTTTTAAATCATACTGATCAGCTTTAGATGTATTAGAAAGCTGATAACAAATATGGCCAAGCTCAATTTTCTCCCACTGTTTGGGAAGAGTACATGATAAAATTTCCTCCTCAATGTTTCTAAAGTCTTTTATATTGTCAAGAGTATATGGAATTGCCAATGTACCATCTAATTTCTTATGAGGTTTCTCAAACTGGTCATAATATACCAATGTAACAAATGCTAGAATTAAAATAAATATAAGTTAAAAAAAGGATTAATTATATACAATGATACAGATTATACTTACTAACAACAGGCTCCTTTACTATAGATATTTCTGATTCAGTAATATTATACTAGGATTTGTCATTTCCGATTCAGTAATACTAGGATTTGTCATTTCTAATTCAGTAACATTAGGATTTGTCATTTCTGATTCAGTAATATTATAATTTGTCATTTTTGACAAGTCAGGTAAGTTCAAAGTATTTGTTACAGATGGATGCAATGGTTCTATGCTTGATGAATCTGGTGGCTCTTTGCTTGTTAAATCAATTGTTTCAATGCTTTCGTCTAATTTATGCTGGTTTTCTTTTTGACCTATAAAAAAGTTAAAATATTAAATATAATTTTTTTAAAATAAAAATTATATTTATAAATATGTATATAAAAACTTTACCTTGAGATTTATCGTAATTATAAAGACGTCGTCGGCAAATATTAATAAAGTCTTGGCCTTTTGTTTCAACTTGTGTTACATTAGTTTCGAACCACTTGACAAATTCTCGATCATATTTAACTTTTTTTGGGTAGCGCCTCTTTGTGTAATATGTTTAGAACAAAAGTCCAACTTATGGTCAGAACTTTTTTTACGCTTCCAGTGAAGTTCTATCTGTTGGCAAGAGCAGCCTTTGCCATAAATTTTTTGTACAAACTAAGCATGTCATGCATGTTGGACAAGCATTAAGACGAAAACTTAATAATGGCGTTGGAAGAATAGACATTGCGAATGCAGTACTGTAACAGTAGTACAAACTCTTTTTATATACTGATCACGTACTGATCATACCGAAATCAATAACTTATCGACTTCGGCCGAATAGACTTCGGCAAATTTTTTTGGGGTGTCCCAGAATTTATGAAAACAGCTGTAAACAATTAAACATGTTTGGTGAACTAAATAAACATACATCTCGGTGAATTAAACATGTTTATGAATTAAATGTCGGTAAAATAAGCTTGTTTGTGAATTAATTGTCTATGAACTGAGGTGTCGGTGAAATGATTGAAGGCGAAATGAGCACCCCCGGTTTTGGGGTTGGATTTGGCTTTGCATAACCTTATAAAATACAGTCAGACTTTCTAAATGCATTATTATGATGGGACTACGTATATGTAAAAAATTAGTTATACGCGTATTTAGAGAGGTATTGCATATGGTGAGGTAAAGATCTATAAGTGTTATATTATTAGTTTGACCTAAAATGGATCTAAAATGGATATGTGTATTTAAGGCTTCGTAGAGCGGGTTGCATTTAGGAGGTCTGACTCTATATATTTACATCCACTGTATTTGATTGTTATATATATATATATATATATATAGTATATAAAAATTTTTAAATTTGTCTGCTTATAAATAAAATTTCAACATTAAGTTTTGAAAAATTGTAAGCCGTAAGTAAGATCGATCATAGGGCCGAAAAACGGATGGACCTTACTACAGTTAGATTAAATAACCATCCTACTTTTAATTTTATTCCCTATAAATATACCCAGGTCTTTTAATAATTGTTTGATATAATACTTGCATTACACCAAAATCTTTACTGCATTAGCCTATTTTTTTTTTTTTTTTGCGATCATTTGTGAATGTTATAGAATAAATAAATTGTATATATTTATTTTATTATTCCTTAAATTTAAATCTTAACGTTAACTGTTATCTAATCATAACAATATGCACGTGCTAATAATTTTATGGTTAAAACATATGTTATCAGGTGATTCAAATATTAGAGGTAAAGTAGCTATGTTTATATCAATTAAATTAAAATTATATATTACTTTGAAAATTATTATTCATCAATATCTTTGGTTCCATAAATACGAAGATGAAGAATATAAGCATCAAGTTCAAGTAGTTCTTTTTTTGATATCTTAGTCAACTTATCATATTCTTCATCAGAAATTTGCATTCTTTCTTTTAAAACAGGTTTAAGAGAAACATAAGCAGTAACCATATTATTGACAAGCTGTTAATTTTATATAATATTAATAATTTTTTAAAATTAATTTTTAAAAATGATTCAGTTTGTACAATACATTACCGCTTTACTAAGTTCAATATTGTTGTGATTTACGCCAAAATAGCATTTTTTCATCTCTTTTTTAATATTTTTCACTTGCCCTAATTTTAGTGAGTTTTAATTAGTAATGAATTATTATAATAATTTTATCTATAAAATTATATATATGTATTATAATATGTAATAGATATAGAGTTAAAAACCTTGGCTTTGTAAATATTTCTCTAATTTTAGATATATATCCCAATCGCCGCCTCGTTCTTCGAACATTTCAACATCTTCATAATAAATGAATAACAATATGTAAATGAAAGAATAAAGTCATCAAATAATATTAATATACATACGACCATTCCATAAACGTTGAGTAACTGGTCCTCCATCAATCATTTTAGAAGGTTCATATAACTTTTTTTTTTTTAAAAAAAAACAAAATGATTAAAAACATACATATTTAAAATCTTAACAAACATCATATTAATTTTCAATAAATATACTTCTAAGAATCCGCCTGGTTTTAAAACTCTAACAATCTCATTTATCACATATGGCCACTTCTCTTTAGCATATCCAGCAACCAAAAATCGTTGAAATACAAAATCAAAAGTGTTATCGCCAAATGGTAATCTTTCTTGTGCATTTGCTTTAACGAATTCAAAATTTTTAGGTTTTATCTGAGTTGGTTGGTGCGGAGATATATCTAATCCAATAACCTTTACTAATGGGTATCTAAGAAAACATTACACGTAAAGATTAATAATTCTAAATAAAATTAAAAAAAATTTAAAGACCATATTATTTTTTCATTTTTCTTATTGAGAAATCGATTAATCAATCAGATAATAAATTTTACTACCGTAGTAATTTCTCGAAATAACACCCATGCCCATTATTTGAGAATTTACGGTAAGTAAAATCAGAAAAGGCGAAAATACAAGAAATGTCTATCTCAACACTAATAAAATAATGCTAGGATAGTACAGTCTGTCCTCATTATAGTCACTCTCAATATATTCACAACCTTGTTATAATCACACTATTTTTTTGGTCTAGCTATTATAAAACATATAAAGTTTACTTTTATTTAGTCACAACTTTTTATAATCACCAAATTTTTGTTTCCCAACCTGGTGATTATAACGAGGTCAGACTGTAATTTTATTTATAATATTATCCAATTTAACCAACTTCTCGTTTTAGATACTCTTCCAAAAAAAAAAAAAAAGACTATTCGTTCGAATTATACTCACGTGGTTGCAATTTCAAATGACCATGAACCTGCGCCACACCTAAAATATACCCGATACTGTATGTTAATATTTTTTAGACAAAATAATTTTTTCTTTTTTATAGTTTGTAAATTATATATGTGATAATTTTTCCGAAATATATACATATATAATTTAAATAATAACAAACTTTTAAAATTAGACTTTCTAAAATTTAAACTATAAATTCGAAGATTAGGTAAACCCGGAGAAATTATTTTAACATAAATATATAGTTTTATAGAGTCAGAGAACTTTTGTTACGTTCTCCCATCAAGTATAATTACTTAACTATTGCAACAATATTTACATACATACCCGATATCAAGGATTTTGGCACCAGGTTTAGACAAAATATGTTCGATAGGAGCAGAGAAATTGCTTTGCCAGACATATCTCATTATAAAATGTTGTAAATGTAATCTATCTATTTCATCATCATCGTTTGGTACTTGGTATACAGCATTTTTTACGTTATGAAATCTTCTACCATCAATATACCGAAATTCTGTTTGTGAGTTTTGTGAGTCCATAGAATTAGCTTTTCCTCTTGATTTAGAAAATGCACATCCCATACCAATATTGCTTTGAAGAAAAATGAATTTTTTTTTTTCGACAAATAAAAGTATTAAAGAATGTAAAAATGTAGTAATTTGCTAAATTTTAATATTTAAAAATATTATCGTTATTGAAAAAAAAAGAATTTAAATATTTATTATCTGCTATATGTATGTATGTATGTACAGTACGTACGTTATATATGATATTTATGCCATATTGATCGAATTAGCAAAATTATATTAAATGCAATATTTATGTATGCATAAAAAATTTTTTTTATTGCACTTGATTTTTCCGGCCGTTGTAACTACATTTCATCTAATAAATTTTGTGCATTGGTTTACAAGGTCATCGAGTTTGTTACATTTAGAATGGTTTTCAAATTACTGTGATCATAATCGCGGAAATCTCCATAATTCTTCGAAATTTGATACTGTTTTACAATTCCATGATTCCCCATAAAATTTCAATTCCTACGTAGTACAATATTCGTTTATATATTAGATATTGTAGCTTATTAACCAAGCAACAATAAAAGTTTTCGGTTTTTTTCACCAAAAATTTCTACAAACTTAGATAATGTTCGAATTATTTTGTGGCCCATGATTTTTGTGATGTTGAACGAGGAAAATTTCTGAAATTCTAAATTGTCTATTAATTCATATTTTCGACAGCTTATTTATATTTATTTGAAATTGGTAAGATTCTTAAAATCCACAAAATCTCCGATTCTCATACAACATTATGATCTGCAGAGGTCACATCTTTTTGCAAAGCGCAATATTCGAGATTGTTTTTAAATTCTACAGACTAGTAGAATTCACAAGACAATTATTAAGAAATCTTCATCGAAGCTAATATAATGTTGTGGAGTGTGTAATGTATGAAATTTGCTGATCACTATAAGTATAAGCAGCAGATAAGCTAAGGTTGTTACATACTGTATAAGTTACATGTAATTTGCTGATGTAAATTTTATTGTAACTTACATAAATTATTTGTAAGTTATTAGGCTAAAATAACTCCCAGAGATGAAATTATAAATTTAGCTTAAATTATACTTTAGACTATAACTTAATAACACTTGCCCGCTATTTTGGTTCATGTTGATGTTAATGCTGGTAGAAATTGTCACATAATTCGGCCTATATTGTAATTTACGTAAGGGCCATGTAAATTACCTGTTACAGCGTGACTTACCAAGTAAAGTATGTTATCCGGCAAACTCATATGATCATGAAAAAATTTCTTTCTGTTATTTTTTTCATGTGTTACGATATAATTATG